ACTTGAGTAAAAGTAGAAGTACTCAGATCTTGTACTTGAGTAAAAGTAGAAGTACTCAGATCTTGTTCTTGAGTAAAAGTAGAAGTACTCAGATCTTGTACTTGAGTAAAAGTACTCAGATCTTGTACTTGAGTAAAAGTAGAAGTACTCTTATCTTGTACTTGAGTAAAAGTAGAAGTACCAGAGTGTAGGAATACTCTGTTACAGTAAAAGTCCTGCATTCAAAATGTTCCTCAAGTAAAAGTATAAAAGTATTATCATCAAAATATAGTGAAAGTAGCGACAGTAAAAGTAGTCATTGTGCAGATTGGTCCGTTTCAGAATAATATATATGATATGTTTTATAATGATTGATCATGAAAGTGTTCTCAAAGCTGGTAAAGGTGCAGCTAGTTTGAATGACTTTGTATACTGCAGGGTAGCTTGTGGATTTACTCCAGGTGGAACTAAAGTCTGATTTAACACTTGATTATATTTCACATCATTCATCCACATCTGTAAAGTAACTAAAGGTATTAAATATAAAGCAATATACAGCTCGTTTCAACTGAAAGTCTATTTAACAAATGGTATTTTCAGAAGGCCTGGAGCAGAGAAACACCTTCACATCTGTTTTATACGACATGTGCGTAGGAGAGGGATGAGTGCATCACAAAGAGAATGCAGGGAAACAGAAGAGCCTGCAGGCGGCTTCACTCTGGAAAACAATGCATCGTTTTGGTTCCTGTTTGCTTTTTCAAACGTTAACCTCAAACAGAGAATACATTCAACACAACGTTTTATATCCAGCCTGGAGCAACACATCTATTGCATGAGACATGTGTGCAGGAGAGGGACGATTTACTCAAATATTGCAAAGAAACTCACTCTAACTTTGCAATTTGCACGTGTATTTTCCGACCAGTTTCAGCACATTACCAAATTTCCTTGAAAAGAAAAAGATAAGACAATAGTTCTTCAGTTTTTGCATGATGAAATATTTCCATGTCGTTTCTTATTCTTGGTGACATGATGTCTAAAAAGTATAAATTGTGCTTTAATACATTATACATTTAACAGTTATTATACATTAAGTTGTGCATACCATGAACGGAACAAATACAAATGAAATGAAATGAAGTAATGGACAGAAATCAGTCAGTTTCTTCCTTTTATTTACAACCCTTTGGGTACAAAAAGGAGAATACGACATTTAGGGCAATCTAGAAGTGAATTTAAGGTGATTTGAGAAAACGTTGTAGTGTTTAACCCCTTTTTTTGTTTCTCTGGAAACCTCCATAAGCAGTGAAACTGAGTGCACAGCCTTTACGATGAATTTAAATTGAGGCTCTGCAGATTCTCGGGTTTGTAAGATAAGATAAGATGGACCTTTATTGATCTCCGTAGGGAAATGCAGGTGTTATAGCAGCAACAGAATAATACAGAAACACAGATAGTACACATGGGATAATAATACAAGAATAAACCTGTACTAAGAGAATGAATAGAAATAACAAAAATGAAATATATATAAAAGAAAGTAAAGTGCAATGATCCAGCTCCAAAGTGGAGACCTCAATTACTTCAGATCTAGAGCACCAGGTGGAAGATGGCTGATATCTAATAAGAAATATATAGGCCTGAGATGTGTGTGTGTGTGTGTGTGTGTGTGTGTGTGTGTGTGTGTGTGTGTGTGTTTAGGAGAGGGGGGGGGCTGGTAGGTGATTATGTCCTCGGTGTGTTGCTGAAATGATAGTCCTTCAATTTGTCTCCTCCCAGGATCCAAGACTCACATCAGCTCTCCACCACCTGCTTCACACACACACACACACACACACACACACACACACACACACACACACACACACACACACACACACACACACACACACACACACACACACACACACACACACACACACACACACACACACGCACACACACACACACACGCAAACACACTCCAATCACACACACTTAGCATGGATATGAGCACACTCAGGCCAGCATTAATGCACAGACATACTTTGTGATCTCACACAATGGAGGACTTTCATTTCATTCTTCCGGCAGTATTTAAAACCTGGGGAAAACGCTGCACATTTTTAGGTAGTCTCTCCTGGAAGAAGTGTATTATTTTGATCTAGGTTGCTCACACAAAAATGCCACAGTTAGTTGTGTGACAAATACAAAAAGAGAGCAACAATGTCCGTTTTAGAAAGCTGTATAAATGGTTAGACATAGCAACGCCTTCAACCACTGAACAGGCATTGGAAAGATGTTTGAACATAACAATAGTACTTACTTAAAGGTCACCTATTATGCAAAATCCACTTTTTCATGTATTTTATACATCAACATGTGTCCCCTCCCCTGTGAAGGTGCAGTTTGTTGACACATCATCAATCCTCTCCTACTGAGTACAATCAGGATAATTACACTTCTATAAAACCTACACATTGGAAGAGAAGAGAAACAGCAGCATAGAAACACATGAAAACAAACGTATGTATCTGATATGTGAACACAGGGAAGAGTACAGAGAAGCAGAGAAGCAGAGAATCGGAGAAACGGAGAAACGGAGAATCGGAGAATCGGAGAAACGGAGAAACGGAGAAATGGAGAAACTGAGAAACGGAGAAACGGAGAAACGGAGAATCGGAGAAACGGAGAATCGGAGAAACGGAGAAACGGAGAATCGGAGAAACGGAGAAAGGAACGGAGAATCGGAGAACGAGGAAACGGAAGAAGAACGGAGAAAACGGAGAAACGGAGAAACGGAGAAACGGAGAAACGGAGAAACGGAGAAACGGAGAAACGGAGAAACGGAGAAACGGAGAAACGGAGAACCGGAGAAACGGAGAAACGGAGAAACGGAGAAACGGAGAAACGGAGAACCGGAGAAACGGAGAAACGGAGAAACGGAGAAACGGAGAAACGGAGAACGGAGAAAGGAGAACGGAGAAACCTCCATGGCTGAACACACAGCTGGAGAAAGTCAAACATTTACACAAATACCGACGGGACAATCGATAGTGCTGCTCCTCGTATTTGATTGACAGCTGAAAGTCAGCAACAAACATGGATAGGAAATTCGTTCAAAAGTTAAAACAAAGAATTGAACCGTCTCTACATGTTGTTGGGAATGTATCTTTGTGAAATGTGCATTCTCGTATATTTGCACGTAGGACTTGAAAGCAGATGTCTCTGTAGTCGGCGTAAAGAAGTGGAATTCTTTGCCGAATGATTTAAAGGGCTGTAAGAAAATGTTTATGTTTAAGAAAATGTATAAAGAAAGCGTAATGAGACAGTGTTATATGAAGTTTTGATTGTGTTATGATTTTATGTTTCAGTATTTGTAAGCAACTGTGACTGAAAGAAAATTGCTTTTATTTATTTTTTAAATGTATTTTGTTGTTATTCTTTTTAAGAAGGGGCAGGTCAAATCAGATGTTCTTCTCCCTGCTCCTTTCCACCATGCGCTATACAAAAAGAAAAACAGTCTTCTCTTTGTCTGGATCATTGTCACTCTTTAAGCTCTCTTAGGATCTCTTTTGTTTCCCGTTTGTCTCCAGCTTCACACAGTATTTATAACTCATATCCTCTTCCTCTGAAATGTAGAGGATGTCTTGTGATCGGGAGATCATGGGTTTTCATCAGGATAGTTTGAGCTGTTTAAAGAACTGAATCCCTGTCGACTCTAAAGGGTAGGAAGGCTTTGTTTTAGGCAGGAAAACTACTAACAAAACTATTGTTGTAATGGTTCAAATCGGACTAATTGAATGAGGAAACTCTCACTCCTTTTTGAAGCAGAGGCGCTGTGGCTAAGTGGTTGAAAGCGCCTGTCTCGTAAACAGGAGATCCTGGGTTCAAATCCCAGCAGCGCCTCACATGGGGAACCTAAATGTAGATAATCTAGGTTGGATGTACACAATTTAGTGTAGTGGGAACCAAAATGGACTTTTTAATATGACATGTTACTTATTAGACGCTTTTTTCAGTCTGGCTCTTGAACTATCAAACTAACTTCTTCCATGGCACTTCTTGATATTAATGCAGATCTGTTTCTAAAACAAGAACAACAAGAAATTGTGGTGCTGTGGCTAAGTGGTGAAGGCGCCTGTCTAGTAAACAGGAGATCCTGGGTTCACATCCCAGCAGTGCCTCATAAGGAAGAACATTTACTATCTTTTGAATGAACCGTGTGTACGATGCAAGTAATATCAGTGCTGATCTATCGCAGATATACACTTCTTAGTACAGTTTTTGATCCAATTCGCTCCAAAGCCAAGATTCTATCAAGTTTTGAGAGGTGCTGTGGCTTAGTGGTCAAAGCGCCTGTCTTGTAAACAGGAGATCCTGGGTTCAAATCCCAGCAGTGCCTCAGAACAATGAATAGACGCTTAATGCTCATTTATCAAAATCCCTTTATAGACACAAAGTTCTCCTTGGAAGCCAGTGTTGAATGGTCTTTCAAGTGAAACCTTTAATCTAGATTAGGCAATGTGCATACACACAGATGTGATCTTTAATGTCAACAATCTACATCCAATAAATACTGAACAAAGGTCCAATAGAGAAGAAGATGGGTTTGCTCTATGAGGAAAGGATGGGATTTGAACCCAGATTATTATCCTGTTTACGAGCGAGGAACAAATGCAACTAAAGTAATTCATTGGTTTCAAGCTAATAATGTTCACATCTAATGATTGTTAACTAGCTACTGGACTTCATGCAGCAGGGGTCAGGAAGCAGAGGCGCTGTGGCTCAGTGGTGAAAGCGCCTGTCTCGTAAACAGGAGATCCTGGGTTCAAATCCCAACAGCGCCTCACACTGGAGAAGAGTCTTAACTCTTTAAACTGTGAATGGAATGAAAGAGTCCAAAAGTAAAGCAGACCTCACCGTAAACCATTTCAAGGATTTTCTTGTAAAATAAAAAAGTTTACACTAGGGATTATTACATCTAACAAAGGCTTTGAATCCGTTTTGTTTAAAAAACAAGTTGTCTAGTCTTATTACAAGGTGCTGTGGCTTAGTTGGTGAAAGCACCTGTCTCGTAAAGTCAGGAGATCCTGGGTTCAAATCCCAGCAGTTCCTTATAAGAAATAGCAAATATTATCTTTTGAAGGAACCGTGTGTACAATTCAAGTAATAATAGTGCTGTTACCATCTCAGATCTACAGTTCTTAGTACAGTGTTTAATCCATTTCGCTCCAAAATAAAGGTTTAATGTAACTTTAAGAGGCGCTGTGGCTAAGAGGTCAATGCGCCTGTCTCGTAAACAGGAGATCCTGGGTTCAAATCCCAGCATTGCCTTAAAAAATAGATCAATTATCATCATGGGTAGTATTCAAGATAGCTATGATTGCTTGGTACATGTTGTTGGGAGTTTTATTTTTTGTGAAATGTTCATTATCATAACTTTGTAATAAACAAATAAGAAACTGATCAAGTGTTCTTCCTCTTTTAATATATACACTCTAGTCTTATTAAAGTGCAACAAATGATACAAACACTTAATGAATCCAAGCCTAAATTCGTCCATTAATGCAGTGTTTTTGACCCTTTCTCTCCCACATCGGGAGATCATGGGTTTTCATCAGGATAGTTTGAGCTGTTTAAAGAACTGAATCCCTGTCGACTCTAAAGGGTAGGAAGGCTTTGTTTTAGGCAGGAAAACTACTAACAAAACTATTGTTGTAATGGTTCAAATCTGACTAATTGAATGAGGAAACTCTCACTCCTTTTGGAAGAAGAGGTGCTGTGGCTTAGTGGTTGAAAGCGCCTGTCTCGTGAACAGGAGATCCTGGGTTCAAATCCCAGCAGCGCCTCACACAGGAGAACAGTCTTAACTCTTTAAACTGTGAATGGAATGAAAGAGTCCAAAAGTAAAGCAGACCTCACCGTAAACCATTTCAATGATTTTCTTGTAAAATAAAGAAGTTTACACTAGGGATTATTACTAGGGCTGTCAGTCGATTAAAATATTTAATCGCGATTAATCGCATGATTGTCCATAGTTAATCGCGATTAATCGCAAATTAATCGCACATTTTTTATCTGTTCTAAATGTACCTTAGAGGGATATTTTTCAAGTTTTTAATACTCTTATCAACATATGAGTGGACAACTATGCTTTATATGTTTGTTTATTATCATTTGAACAATGACAAATATTCTCATGAATATTAAACACAACAACCTGTGAACATTACAAATATTCGCCTCAATTCAACCTAGAACCTCTCTCATACAATAATACAATACTGTGTGTGTGTGTGTGTGTGTGTGTGTGTGTGTGTGTGTGTGTGTGTGTGTGTGTGTGTGTGTGTGTGTGTGTGTGTGTGTGTGTGTAAATGTGGAGACACTGTGATGGATCGTTGGAGCTATGTGCAGCTCAAGGCATATATGCCTGTGTGTATGAGCTGTGTTGCGGCACTATCCGTGCTGAGTGTGCTGTCTGGCTACCTGCATAAAGTCAAGTGCTCGGCGCAGTTGTCGGCGAAATGTCGCTCCTCTGTTTTCATTGAAACAGCTCCTTATATCCGTTAGCTCAGCTAGCTACCACCAGATGCTAACAACAACACGTAAGGTGTGCTTCGCTCGCGCCACACATACACACACCCTCCCGGTCCTCCCGATGGCCAGTCCGGGCCTGCCGGTGAGCGTGGAAGTGTGGTCTGCCACAAGCGGGCAGCAGGAGCGGGGCTGTCAGCATCAGCTTGTAGATGGTATTTTAAACTCGATGCGCTTTGAAACTACGGCGGCCGAGGACAAAAAATACACATGCGTTAATCGCGTTAAAATAATTAGTGGCGTTCATTTTTTTTTGCGTTAACGCGTTATTAACGCGTTAACTTGACAGCCCTAATTATTACATCTAACAAAGGCTTTGAATCCGTAGTTGGTGAAAGGACCTGTCTAGTAAAGTCAGGAGATCATGGGTTCAAATCCCAGCAGTGCCTCACATAGAAGAACAACCTAAACACAAAGAATCCAAACATCAAGCACACCTGTACACCACAGCAGACACGTTAAAGGTAAGTTTGTTTTGTAATGAAATACCAAAAATGATCTCTTAGAACTTCTAACCAAAACCCATTGAACTGGTTCTTGAGATTTAATACAACTTTTGAATCCCTCACACTTCAGGGCCAGAGATAACCCTAGGTTTTGTTCTATGGGCCAAATTGGTGAAAGCGCCTGTCTCGTAAACAGGAGATCCTGGGTTCAAATCCCAGCAGCGCCTTAGTAAAGAGAACAGTGTGCACAATACAAGTTAAAGGAGCCTTAGAGAGAAGCTGAATTATTCACCTTTTAAAGGACCAGTGTAAAGGTAACTTAGTGCCAATTGAACAAATTGAACATCAACTTCCTAGGATATGGCAATAGCAATAAACTACAGAGGCAAACAATACCAGATCTCATTGTTGAATAATGTCCGATACAGTAATAGAGTTACAGTAGTATTTCTGAATAAAATGGCAATCTTATTGATATCATTTGCCGAAAATTGAAAAGCCATAGCTATTGCTTTTCTTTTTTTTTGCCATACGCACTGTCAAACACATATTCACCTGCTGTGAACCTTGATATAAGCAAATCCAATCCAACTTTATTTATATAGCACATTTAAAAGCAACAGAGTTGACCAAAGTGCTGTACATCAATAAATACATAAAAAGCAGCATAAATACATTTAGACAAAACCGATAGGACAACAAATTAATATAAAAACACGAGACAATAAAACCATACTTATCGCAACAGGCTGAAAAACTCTCATACACGATGTAAAAACAATATGAAACACAAGAAAAACAAAAAAAAATTCAACCAGTGAAGCCCCATGCCCCCGGTACTGGGGGCAAAACGCAACATCTTGCAAGAAACAGCGTCTGAGGGCTTCTTAAGATTTAACAAACTATTAATGTGTCATACCCACTTAACGGGAAGAAACTCTGCTAACTGACGATATGAACCATTTTTAGCTAAACGAAACACAAGGGTAATACCAAGCCTCTGAATTAGCCCTGAGCGAAAAAATGCTAACGCACTTAGCACAGAGCTCACAGTAGAACTACTTTATTACTTATCGGATCTGCACAAACAAGATATCAGATTAAAGCTGAGATTCCACAGATTCGACATATATAGTTATCATCACTGTGCGACCAAAAGGGCAGGGAAGGCGAAACCAGACAACACACAACTTTACGGAGCCAAAACGACAAATATGTCTTACCTTTGCTGTTTTCTGATCAAAAGTTGTGTTCAATGGCATTAAAACGATAAAAACACTGCTGAAGGTTAATCCATAGGTTAATCCAATGTCTCTGTGTCACTTTGAAATGATTACTGATAATCCATCATTCAATTTTTGTCAAAAACTGAGATTTCATATTAGCTGCTATTAGAGCTACAACCCAGCTTCCGGTTTTGGGCAAACTGCGTGCACATCACTCTCACTCCTCAATGGTAATGTTTAGATGGATTTGAGGAACTTCCCCTCAATTCTATTGGCTCTAACGGTTCAAAAGAGGTGTCAATCATCAAAATCGGGGCCAGATATATGGAAAATCCATCATGCACCCAAATGACCCCAGAAGTGTTTTTTTTTTCTAAATCTCTCTAAAAAGGTAACATTTCACTTGTTTTGCATCAATCTTGAAACAGGGTACTTATTATATGTGATAGTTTGGATTCCTAAAGCTTTTAGTCTACTAACCCATCATTCAAGGGTGGTTTTCACTATAAGTCATGTTTTTTTTTTGGACAGACACTATAATTTACATTTTGTTACTATGTTCAATCTGAATTTACTTTAAAAATAAAAACATCTATATTGATTCTGACTTTTCTACCTTCATCTCACAGGTTTATCATTGCTTTGAGAACAAAGATTATTAATTTACCCCTTTTAGAAGTGAAGATATAGTCATTTGTTCTGGGAATGTCATTTTCGAGCCTGAGACCTGAAAAACAGGCTCGGGGCTTAAGCACAGACTGATACGTCTTATACGTGGTCTGCAAAAGCAAGGGAGAACAAGTAGGTCTTTAAACGAGATTTATATATACACTGAAAAAACTGAAGCATTGACTTTAATTCAATGTATTATGTCAACAGATTTCACATCACTGTATTAGGTTAGTTGAAAGCAATAATATTAAGTTGAACCTATTTAAACTTAATAGTATTGCTTTCAACTAACCTTATACAGTGATGTGAAATCTGTTGACATAATACATTTAATTAAAGTCAATACTTCAGTTTTTTCAGTGTATATATTATGTATAGTGGAGATATAAAATAAATCACACATTATACCATCACTAATCCCCACCTTCTGGGTAAAGTATTGGATTTGGGATAATGATAAGAGGGATGGACATGAAATGAAGCAGATGGTGTGTCCTGCAGCTCCTCTGTCAGACTTCTGACATTTTCTCTATGAATCTCTCTCTGCTGGTTTGAAAATGACAGAAAACAGATGAAGTGCAGGCTGAGCTCCCCGAAGGCTGACAGGGGATGATAATTATGACCTTTAATTATCCGTCATACATTGGATGTGGTTTTATCTCCCATATCCAGAGGTGGGAAGTAGTGGAGTACAAATACTTCGTTACTGTACTTAAGTACATTTTTCTGGTATCAGTACTTTACTCCACTACTTATTTTTCTGACGACTTCTTACTTTTAACTCTTACATTTTGAACACAAATACCTGTACTTTCTACTTCTTACATGTTGAACACAAATACCTGTACTTTTTACTTCTTACATGTTGAACACAAATACCTGTACTTTCTACTTCTTACATGTTGAACACAAATACCTGTACTTTCTACTTCTTACATTTTGAACCCAAATACCTGTACTTTCTACTTCTCACATTTTGAACACAAATACCTGTACTTTCTACTTCTTACATGTTGAACACAAATACCTGTACTTTCTACTTCTTACATGTTGAACACAAATACCTGTACTTTTTACTTCTTACATGTTGAACACAAATACCTGTACTTTCTACTTCTTACATGTTGAACACAAATACCTGTACTTTCTACTTCTTACATGTTGAACACAAATACCTGTACTTTCTACTTCTTACATGTTGAACACAAATACCTGTACTTTCTACTTCTTACATGTTGAACACAAATACCTGTACTTTTTACTTCTTACATGTTGAACACAAATACCTGTACTTTCTACTTCTTACATTTTGAACCCAAATACCTGTACTTTCTACTTCTTACATTTTGAACACAAATACCTGTACTTTCTACTTCTTACATGTTGAACACAAATA